TATTAGTCTGAGTACGCGCTCGTTGTGTGGCGCATGTCTTCAATTGAATATTTACCGTACTTGTTTTGCTCATGGAAGAATGCCAAATAAAACCATATAGTATTAAAACGCCTACTATTAAATGGTTTTTCGCTTTTATTTTTAGGTTCTGTCTCATACTGGTTGGATTGAGAGTTGGATTCTCTGTTGTAGATATATTTTCATGGAAAACAAACAAATGAAGCAATTTCAGTGAATGCTTACAGTAAAGGCCCACACAGACCGGGCGCGAATTGGCTAAGCGACGCGAATTTTCAATTTGCAATGGCCAATGACATTTATTAATAATACTTTTCTATGTTTTTCAAATATTTGGAACCACTTAAGAAATTTTAGGTATTTCGTCTGCATATCTTGTGAAATTTTTATCCGCTGACGGTTTTATTTGTTCTTAAAACTGAAAATTCGCGTCGCGTTGTCGAATCGCGTCCGGTCTGTGTGGGCCCCTAAAAGCTACGTTTACACGCTACAATTTACGTGTACGATTCGTATTCTGGTGTATTAAAATGAGTGCGGCGCCATAATTCATTGCCGTTTCGTTAAAAAGAAATTTCAAATGTGGCCAGCCGTGTTTACTCAATGACATACGCCAGAAAACGAATCGTACACGATTAATCACGGGAAAGTACAAAACATGGACCCCCGGTCCATGAACCCCTTGTCTGGACTGGGTCCATGGACCCCCTCAATAGACCGGGTCCATGGACCCCCTCTATGGACCGACTCCATGGACCCCCTCCATCGGCCGCATTTTTTCAAATTTCAATATTATTGTTAAACATGATTTGAGTTTTTAATTTTAAAAAATATTTTAGTGGTTTTAAAGCATACTTTTGTTCTTAGCAGCAAACCTCATCTACACTCCACTGTTTTCTTCATACCAAAGCGAGGCTTGCTAAGACATATTATGACAAATCAATGCACCATGTAAATAATAATAGTGTTACGACTTGCAAAGCCGGTCAATGATCACAGCCTATGAAATTAAAGAAACCACTGCCAGCAAAGTGTTGAAATAATAAACCACTTTCATTGATTGTTCGTCTTAATTAGCCTTCTTGGTTCAATATACAAAAAAGTGTTTCAATTCATCTCTTACGAAAGTGGTCTAAAGGCACTGTTCATAATCAGCAATTTGATTTGCTTTAATTAATACATATTTGTGAGCTGTGCACTTAGCTAGCTGGATGCATAAGTGTTATTTGGAACGAATTAATAGAACATTTTGACCTTGCAAATAAATTTGTTTTCTCCGTGTACATGGTTATTTATATTCAGGTGTATTCAAAAATTCCTGTTAACATTCATTCATAGAAGGGGCCATTGAGAAATTGCGGGTCCGTGGACACGGTGCATGGAAGGGGTCCATGGACCCAGTCCATAGAAGGGGTCCATGGACCGGGGGTCCATGTTTTGTACTTTTCCATTAATCGCAGCGTGTAAGGCAGCAGGAATTTCTGACCATTTAATACATGTAAATAAGTAGTACATTCCAAAATCAAAACCTTTTACACCTGACGAATTCCCAAATCCAAGCTCAAAAACCCTTTACCTTCAAGGCCAGCGAGGGTGGGGGGGAAATACCCGGGGGCCCGGAGGGCTCAGAGGGGCCCGGAAATCTCGGTATTGTTTATCATCGCTTTATGTTTGTCCTAAGGGACGGACCATTTGATTTTTGATGGGGGGGGGGGTAGAATAAAAAAAAAAAAATATCGAGCAAGCAATTCGAACTTAAAAAAAAATATCGTGCAAGAATAAACGTACGAAAAAAAATATCGAGCAAGACTTTCGAGTGGTAATTCTTATTTGCCATTCGGTGCATTTCCGCGTGTAGCCCAGGCCGTATGTAGCAACCGGGGGGCTGGGGGCTGCAGGGTCCAGGAATTGGCGTTTCAGAGACTCTAAATTTAAAAATTTCCTTGGGCCTTCGGCCCTCGCTTCCAGCCCCCCCCCCAATTAAAAAGAGCCTCCTACGGCCCTGTAGCCTAAATAATGGGAGGACCAGTATAATTCCAAAAATGGTTGTTCTTTATTTCTTTACTCCGACTCCTATGATGAACATGTACGTATAAAACTAGGAAAACTACGATTAAAACACGGCCGTAGAAACTAAAATAGGTGAAATTAACCGTTTATAGTATAGTATAGCATAGTATAGCGTAGTATTTTCATGTATGGCAGGACTTAATTTGGGACTTTATTAGTCCTGTTGTCTGTGCCTTCAATTTCTTATTGTAAAACTAATAAAAAAAAAATAAATAAAAAAAATTTTTATGGGACACGATCAAAGGCGAGGATATAAGAGCGAGAGATTGAAATTGAGTCTGAAAAGCGTACAGGGGTATGCGTTTCGACCTAACAGTTTTCTTCAGCAGGGTTTTTTAAGAGGGGGGTAGATATAATTTGAAGAGGACAAGGAAGGAGAGTTTATAGGAGTTCGGAAAATAATGTGAGACCAAGAGGAAAACAAATTATTACGAAATAACTGAAAATAACCAATTACACAGTGAAAGGATGTAACTACTATACATGTTATTAGTCAAGTTATCCTACCAAAGGTCTTGTTGTTTGCGGGACGTTCCAACACTACGCACTTTATTGTTCATCGTTCGTATTGGTGAAGTGAAGCAAATTTGCAGGTCCTTCAATTAAGGGTTAACTTACTAGTACAATAGGCCTACTCTGGGGCGGTAAATCGCCTAAAATCGCATTAAATCGCGGGTTAAAATTGTCGAATTTCTCTTAAATCGCCTAAAATCGCTTAAAATCGCCAACATGCATTCTGTTTGATACATTGAGTCCATGTACTCAAGCTTATCAATTGCTGCTATTTTACGGGCAAATCATGTAATCCAGGTGCTTTGCAATCAAAAGTAATGCAACATGAATTAGCAGTCAAATAAGTGGAATAGGCTGACAATATTTGGTCACTCAATAGGCACTGGTCATTGACAAAAACAGAGCCTTTTTTCTGCTTTATGCAGACTTTACAATAATTAGGTAATTCTGGGATCTGATAAACCCATACATCCCATACACTACCAGCAACAAAATTGAGCTAGTTACCAGAATGAGTTAATTTCATTATTGGTTTAAATGGAGGCTGGGCTACAATTTATAATTATGGACTATGGAGGCTGGGCTACAAATTAATCTATAATCTACATGGCTTCTCAAAGCCTAATTGCTGTTAATTAGAACAACAGTAGGAGACTAGGAAAGTCAATTAGTACGAGTGTTGATTTATATAATAAAGTCATCCTGTAATTTGTGCACTGTTGCATGTAACATCGAGCACTGCATTGTATACAATGGTTGTACTTCGACATGTGCATGGTTATACTCTAGCTCCTAGTCATAATTATAGTGGCTATCAAACGAAAAGTATACGTGAGGTTATGAGCGATTTGCAACTCTTATCTATTAAATTTTCCAGACCTGTATATACAATAAACAGTAAAACAATGATTACATCGTACATACCATACAATAGATCTTTTGTTGTTGTTTAAGGTTGCAGAACCTAAAACCACGACGTAGTGCGCCATTTGTTTAATACTGTATTACTTTGTTTTTAATTTTAAAACAAGACGCTCGAAAGAGCGTTGACTCGCTGGGGCTAATGGGTAGACTTGGTTCAAGCTAATGGGCTGCCGATAGTGATACACTTGTCAGATCACGGTGATGGTACATTGGTACTACAATCATATGGCCAATTGAAGAGTTAATAGTGATCTGTCCCCTGTTGCAAAATTGCGGTGTCCCACCGATGTGTCAAGTTTGGCACCGCTACCTGACAGCAGA